GTAATTTATTATAGATATATTGTAAGTCTGTAAATCAAATATCCCCACTTATTGAGAGGTCTGCGTGCGGTCAAATCAAATCGCTGTTTACGTCTGGCTAAATTAATTTTGCACAAGTGAGCCCTGAAGACTCCCCCCTCAGTGTTCCGTTTTCTCCAGGTACTTGACACGAGACCTGCTGAAGAAGACCTCTTGACAGGGCTAAGAAGCAGGTCTGTTTGTCTCTTGAAGGTGTACCTTGGAGCTCCTTAGGCGGAGGCCCTTCACCTGTGACTAGTCAATCCCTCATTGGTGCCGTGAGGGGGGTACGAGGCTATAAATATATGAGGCACTTTTTCTTTTGAGGTCATTGAATAGGGAGAGCTGTTAAGGTGAGTTGGGTTGTGAGGAGGGGGGGGAAGGGGGGGGATGCAGGTTTATGAGTCCATGTGTGTACTCATCTCAATGTACTCATCTAGATGTGCTGACGGGAGACGTCTCCCGTCACGCAGGGTGCAGTCGCACTTCTACAGATCTCCAGTATCAGTTCTTGATATTGGTAATGGCTCAAAAGGGCCACCACTTACGGGCTATTCATGCCCGTGCCACCTTTTGGGTGGCTTAATCTTCATCAATCAATCTAGATGTGGTTCCAGGGTCGATCATCAGCTCCTTGGCCCCGCCATCTAAAGATGCTTAGTTTAATACAGTGATTAATTGTCAATGCTTTTTCTGATCATATTTACATGTAAAATTATGAATTGAATTTGCTTCAGCATTTTTTTGTCTAACTCTTTCCAGTTAATGCCAATTGTAACAGTGAAGCTGTTCTTTCTAACATATATATATATAACTAATTTTATTCTTTAATTGCCATTTATTGAAAACTCGTTCCCCTGTTCCTTGCCTAAAATATTTTTTCTTTCTCTAAGTTTCCAATCCACTAGAATCTTCTATGTCGTCATCATGTCCTCTCCTCCAGTGTCAATGAAGTTCCTTCCGTCTTTCCTCGTTGCTTAGAACCCTCTGTTCAGGAACTAGCCTTGTTGCATACCTTTGGATTTAACTGGTTCTGTGTGGTGATTAATAAAAGTGCGGGTTCCATGCCGTGGCTGCATACTCCTTAGTGAGTCTCGCGTAGATTGTATATACGACCTGGAAGGCTTCTTTGTCCTAACTCCAGAAGATCACATGAACGATGGTCAGAGTGATTGATGAGGCTGACGTGGTTCGGCAAATATGTTCCTCTGAGTTTCTATTTCAATGTTTGTTCCCGGAGGATTTCTCATTCTCTGAAGCAGCCGTCTGTCTGTCTCTCTTTCCTCACACTGCTGTACAGGTGTGATCTCTCCTGTGGCTACGTGTGCACACGTGTACGTGTCTGTGGATGTGTACTTCCATAGCATATATATATTTACTAATTTGAAGACACTGTTCAACATAACAGGCCAAATACACCTGATTAATCTTTGTATGTAGATAGGAGCTGCCTCGTATGGGGCCAATAGGCCCTCTGCAGTTACCTTTGTTCTAATGTGCTTCATCCTCCATTTATCCGCTATGTATCTCCCTTATCTTTACCTATATATATAGATATATATATATATATATATATATATATATATATATATATATATATATATATATATATATATATATATATATATATATATATATATATATATATATATATATAGGTAAAGCAAGTATACTGGCAGCAAGTTTTTCCTTTTATGCATGTCTCATTGAATATGACAGCATATTCCGTATTTACTATTTTCTGATTTAGGGCTTCTATCCCTCTTACTAATGCTCTTGCATCAGGGTTCAGCTGGAAGAAGAGTTCACCAAACCTCACGTTGTTTTCAAAGTGAAGAAAATGAATTGAATAATTTATTTTATAATTAGTGTAATACATTCTTCAGTTATTCACCATCAATAGTACCCATTCACAACTCCCCCCCTCCTCCTCCCCCATTCATGGATGAATCACAACATCAACAAAACGTTCTTGAACGAGTATTAAACGTGTTGGGTACACGTGAGTAGGCCGGATCTGCTACTCCCTCAAAAAACAAAAACCACCTTTCACACTCCCTGCCTATAGGGCTAATATTCCTATATACTCCCATAGCAACTTCGAATTTATGGCTTGTCACTCTCTTCAACCACAGCTAAAGCATTATATTAGGGTTTGCCATTATTGTCACAGAGTTTCTAACGAGTTCGTACGACCATTAAGTGAGGCGTACGACCGCCATATTGTTCAGGGCATCCGACACGCATCCTGTTTGTGGTTGGTCACAACAGAGAAGGAAATGAGGATTAAATCCCTCTCCTCCCCCCCCCCCCCCCCGAGTGTGGGGGTCCTTGTCACGGGATTACCACCATTGGGGATTACAAGACCGGACAAAATGATTTCGGACTTCATTAGCATATTCGGTCTTTTTTTGTTATTCTATCCAACAAAATCTGGGGAATTTTATTGAATGGAGGATTCACTACTTTAAGAAAAAATACATTAAGTAGTTTGTAATGCGTATTGTATAAAGTAATTTATTATTTTATAGAGCAAAATGTTTGTAGCATATGAAGTGTGATTGTTGAGTGTGATTTGTCCGGGCAGTGCTCCAGCTCCTGGACACACACACACACCCATATACACACACCTGGAAAACAGAAGAGTAAGGGGAGACATGATAACCACCTACAAAATTCTCAGGGAAATGACAGGGTGGACAATGACAAACTCTTCAGTACGGGCGGAAACTTAGTGCCCAAATGAGCCACAGAGACATTAGAGAGAATTTGTTCAGTGTCAGAGTAGTTAACAAATGGAATGCATTAGGCAGTGATGTGGTGGAGGCTGACTCCATACACAGTTTCAAATGTAGATATGATAGAGCCCAGTAGGCTCAGGAATCTGTACACCAGTTGATTGACGGTTGAGAGGCGGGACCAAAGAGCCAGAGCTCAACCCCCGCAAGCACAACTAAGTGAGTACAATAATCCAGCAACTCCACAATTGCTGTCATCCGCCATTTTGTTCCAAAAATCAACAACCCTGTTTCCGAACCAGTATTTACCCAGGTCTTCCCTGAGCCACGGGTAATCGCACCACACTGGATCACCTAAAGGGTACAGAATACATCGCCAGAATACTACAGCAGCCCAGGATAGATCCTACAACGCCATAATACATCCCACGAGTCGTGCGACCCTTCTTCTCAAGGACCAATGATGCTGTCCATGGACCAGATTCACGAAGCAGTTACGCAAGCACTTACGAACCTGTACATCTTTTCTCAATCTTTGGCGGCTTTGTTTACAATTATTAAACAGTTAATGAGCTGCGAAGCACCAGGAGGCTGTTTATAACAATAACAACAGTTGAGTGGCAAGTTTTCATGCTTGTAAACTGTTTAATAAATGTAACCAAAGCCGTCAAAGATTGAGGAAAAGATGTACACGTTCGTAAGTGCTTGAACTTACTCTAAATAAGTCTGCTTCGTGAATGTGGCTCCAGTTCATTTCTCTTTCATCCCATTAGGGTTTCAATTTCTCGGGATGACTGAAATGCACTGACGACGCAAACCATCAATTAATAGAATGTATATTTTCGTGGAGACGAAGGCAAGGCTGCAGGCAAGAGTTGGAACACATATGAAGCAGTTGACGTCAACAAGGGCGCGGGCTATATGCTGATTTTCCTCCAGCAGCCCATCAGTTTGTTTCTGTTAACAACGTCCGAATGCGTTCGAGAGTGTTTATAGAGACAGAGATAATAATAATAATAATCATACGTTCTGTCGGGGACAGGCAGCCTGTTTATATACATGTGTACATAAGGTCGGAATCGAGGCTCCTCCCAGGATTGAAACCAAAAACAGTTACCTACTCCCTGATACCTAATTTGCTGTTAGGTGGACAGAGGCATTAGGTGAAAAATAAGGTGCCCATCCATTTCTACCCCGCCCGGGACTCGAACGCGGGATTCCTGATTGTGAGTCGAAAATGAACCCGACTCTACTAAGACACAGAGACAGTAACATTAATTTAAATCCCGGCCGGGACAGAATTGGTTGGGCACACTTCCTTTCACCTAATGCACCTGTTCACCTAGCAGGGGAGTAGGTACTCAGGCGTTCGTCAGCTTGTTATGGGGTTGCATCCTGGGCGGGGTCAGTAATTCGACCTAGAGAGAGGGGGGGGGAGGGGGTGAAAAGGGAGACCTCCTTGACATAAGCCTAACGTGTATGAATACACTCTGGCTGCCTGTCCCCCCCCCGACACGATGAATTATTAAATAAACATGGACAAAGGGATCTCTTGAAGTGTATATACCCCAGGGAGCATACCCAGCTACCCTCTCATCACAGAGGGTATATAGGCGACCACTGGGCACAGGAAGCCCCATAGCTACTGGGCATGAATGCCCCCCACACCTTACCCACCTCACCCCCCCCCTCCTCTTCTCCATGCCCTCCACCACCCCACTCCCCTCCCCCTTTGGTCTCTCCCTCATGCCCTTAGGGTATAGCACGCCCACGCTGATAAAGCAATATGGTCTTTTTGAAGGGATGGAAAAAGACTGGGTTTTCAGACTTGAGAAAGTAGAGCAGCCTTTGCAAGGAGGTCTGTAAGGCTTTCAGGGTCTCGTAGCCTCGTTTTAGGTCTCGTAGTGAATCCTATACTACGCAGGGTACGTAGGTCTCGTACCCTCGTGAGTTTTAGGATCTCGTAGCACACTTGGCTTATAGTCCCCCCAACGTCAAAATATGCCGTACTATAAACTCTACACGCTCGCTGAATTGACGGGCTGATACATTTTCTATTCGTGGGTGTTCGGTTAGGTTAGATTCGGGCAGTTTAGTACATCATTTTGTGACGTGACAACTCGTGAGGACGGGCCTGGTCTGCCGGTGGGCGGTGGAGTTTAAGTCTATTACATGCACATCTTAGTGAACCTCCTTCCCCCCTCCCCCCCCCCAGTGGCACTGCCTCGCGAGTGCCAGTAGTCACCAAGCTGCACCAGTGCCAGGGTGCCACACTCAGGCCTGACTCCCCCGACCACAGACGGAGAGCCACGAAGGTAAATCGTTAGAAATTCGACGCATTTCCCTGCAGTGGCTTCAGACATTATGTGGTTTCAAGCGCAGGTGAGACGTATATACGAATGAGTTTGCGTGGGTATAAACAGGAGCTGCCTCGTATGGACCAATAGGAGCTGCCTCGTATGGACCAATATGAGCTGCCTCGTATGGACCAATATGAGCTGCCTCGTATGGACCGGTAGGAGCTGCCTCGTATGGACCAATAGGAGCTGCCTCGTATGGACCAATAGGAGCTGCCTCGTATGGACCAATAGAAGCTGCCTCGTATGGACCAATATGAGCTGCCTCGTATGGACCAATAGGAGCTGCCTCGTATGGACCAATAGGAGCTGCCTCGTATGGACCAATAGGAGCTGCCTCGTATGGACCAATAGGAGCTGCCTCGTATGGACCAATAGAAGCTGCCTCGTATGGACCAATATGAGCTGCCTTGAATGGTCCAATAAGAGCTACCTCGTATAGGCCAATGAGCCTTCTGTAATTTTCCATTATTTTTGCATTGTATGTTCAAGCAGGTTATTGCTATACGTGTTCGATATGACTGAGGCGCCGCTGACACACCAGGTTCACTGATACAACCTACAACACTGACAGATTTAACACTTCTTTGTCACACCCCCTTCTTGAACACACCTTGAACACATCTTCAACTCCCCTTGAACTCCTCTTAAACACACCTTGAACACATCTTCAACTCCCCTTGAACTCCTCTTAAACCCACCTTCAACTCATCTTAAACACATCCCTTGAACACAGCAAGAACTTCAAATCTCGCTTATCTGACAGGTATCTTATCAAATGCGTCCAGACCTGCTAATGACAGGTGTGTGTTGGTTGATGCCTTCCTACACCTGTGTATATATATATATATATATATATATATATATATATATATATATATATATATATATATATATATATATATATGTATGTAGTACGTAATTACTGTAGTGGTCTTTCGGGCTCACCATAGCCCGTGCTACATGGACGCTTCGTTCTGTGTAGCTAAATCTAAAAGAGTCGCTGGAGGATGCTCGCTGAATCTCGTTCATCTCAGCAACCTGAGGACTCGCAGAGACCTCCTCCCCTAGCAACAGTGTCTCAAGTTAGCTGCACTTCGTTCAATCCACAACAGTTGCCTAACTCCTGGGTAACTGTTTACTGCTAAGTGAACTGTGGTATCAGGCGTATAGGGAAACGGGCCCAAAACGTTTCTTCCTGTTCGGGAATCAAACTCGGGTCCAGTCCGTTGTAATCCGACTACGAAATCTCTCGTCTCAATGAGACTGTCTGTTTTCAGTTGCTTAGATACTCCTTTATCTACTGGAGAACCTTTTGGGTTAGGAAACTGTTCATTTCTAAGATGTATTTCTTAGTTCAAGAGCCAATAAACATATGTTCATATTTTATTTACCTGTAATACAGTTATCTATAATACAGCTGAAAATTCTGGAACTGATTTATTTATTTCCTAATGTTAAAAATGTATTTTAATTAGTTATTACATAAAAATAATTTGTTTTCTTTCAGTAAATTATGATGAAAGAAAACGAGCCTCTGGAGGGTCTTGTGAGGGAGGACCTTGGTAATTCATCTGCTGCCTCTAACCTCGCCTTCAACGAGCAAGTTAGTATATATGACTAAATCACAGATATGAAAAAAGCAGTACTGATGCTGAACTTTCCTTCCTAAAGCGTCTTTTTCCGGTAACATATTTTGTAACATTTATTTTTGTTTAGATATCTGACATCTCAAGGGTCTCAGTAGTGCAGCCGGATTCGTTCTCGATTCGCAATCCGGAATTTTGTGAATCGTTTTGAGAATGAAACCTTCTCCACATCCCCAACCACCAATAGCAGCCTTCCCCACACACCCAACCACCAATCACAGGCTTCTCCACACCCACCAATCACAGACCACACCGTTGCAGGTGAAGGCACTCATCAAGACAGGGCGGAAGGTGTGCCACCTGGCCTTCGGGCAGTCACCATTTCCCGCCCCGGAGTGCCTGACGGAGGCGCTGAAGGAATGCGCCCACATCACCCAGTACCTCCCAACACAAGGTGGGATCTGAGGACATATGCATTTGTTCTTTCTTGAAAGGCTTGTAATCTTAGACTATTATATAGCATTTTTTGGATAAAAGTCGTATTGTTTAGATTTAGATTTAGATTAAGCGCTTAGATTTTTGTTTTAGTTTTAATGTGATTTGTTTGTTAAAAGTAAAAACAGTGATATTAATCTTCTCAACCTACTACCACTCTTGAACTCAAAACCATCTGAATGGCTTATGAGTGAATATCTTTTCTGAAAATATTACTATATTCGCTAACTGTGAATGCCAGATGTATAATATTAAAGATTGATTGGTTTCTTGAGGGGTTTTCTTAACATATTCTAACATTTCCGTCAGGTATTCCGGAGCTTCGCGAGGAGCTGGTCAAGTTCCACGAGCGGTACGACAGCTTGAGTTTAAGCGCCGAGGGCATCGTGGTGGGACCTGGCAGCAAGGAGCTCATATTCCTCATCATGGCTTCCTTCAGAGGAGGTACAGAGCCATAGTTCTTGCCAGAACATGGGGAGAAAAATGAGTGGAAGTTATAGACAGGAACTTCTAAGAAGTTAGACATATATATATACGAGTTAGGTGGAGATAAATTCGAGTTGCCTGGTATAGATCTATAAACCTTTTACATTTTCCTGTATTACCATGTTCATACATTCTTATACATAAATTAAATCAATTAGGCTTATTAGGTTCTCTGAGTCCTAGTAGGCTTCATATGTCCCCTCACAGATATCCTGCTGCCCGCGCCCTCCCGGCCCTCGTTCTATTCCCAGAGCCGCCTGGCGGGGAAGGTCCCCAGGGTCCTCCAGACAGAGCAGGACCAGGGCTGGAAGCTCACGCCGGAGACGCTGGAGAAGGCTGCAAAGCAGGCAGCTCCTGGCTGGAAGCTCCTGATCCTCACCAACCCCGGAAACCCTAGTTAGTGCTCCATACTCGCGTGCTAAATATTACGAAGTTCATACATATACATGCGTTCAGACTGGTTGACTGAGGTCAATGTATACACAGATATACTCAGTATCGTCCATTTGCATTATTTAATTCTGATGTTCTGTTTTAAAACTATTTCTATGTATTTGTTTTTTACACAAACACACACATGTTGATAATGAAATTGTTTCTTATACTTCGTATAAGAAGTATACGAAGTATAAGAAATATATATATAAGTATATTATTAAGTTCCTGGAGAGGTCTTTGAGGTAAAGGCTGGATGGATGGTAGTGATGATCAGGGAGCCTTGTAGCTCGCTAACACTGTCTTGGGTCTTCTCCAGGCGGTACCTGCTACTCTGAGGAGGAGCTTCAGGCTATCAGGTGAGTAGAGGGGACAGAACCTGTCCTATTCCTGTTTTACAACCATCTCTCTCTTTTGATTCTTGGACGTGGCCTTGTGTGTACTCACCTAGTTGTGTTTGCGGGGGTTGAGCTCTGGCTCTTTGGTCCCGCCTCTCAACCGTCAATCAACAGGTGTACAGGTTCCTGAGCCTATTGGGCTCTTTCATATCTACACTTGAAACTGTGTATGGAGTCAGCCTCCACCACATCATCCCCTAATGCATTCCATTTGTCAACCACTTTAACACTAAAAAAGTTCTTTCTAATATCTCTGTGGCTGTGTGTGTGTGTGTGTGTGTGTGTGTGTGTGTGTGTGTGTGTGTGTGTGTGTGTGTGTGTGTGTGTGTGTGTGTGTGTGTGTGTTTTGTTATTAATAATATATTTAACTTTGTACGCTATTTTGTTTGTCTTTGGTCTTTAAGAAAGACACTAACTTATGTAGTGTGTCTCAGTGTTGTAGGTTCCTTAAGTGTGTCTCAGTGTTGTGGGTTCCTTAAGTGTGTCTCAGTGTTGTAGGTTTCTTAAGTGTGTCTCAGTGTTGTAGGTTCCTTAAGTGTGTCTCAGTGTTGTAGATTTCTTAAGTGTGTCTCAGTGTTGTAGGTTCCTTAAGTGTGTCTCAGTGTTGTAGGTTCCTTAAGTGTGTCTCAGTGTTGTAGGTTCCTTAAGTGTGTCTCAGTGTTGTAGATTTCTTAAGTGTGTCTTAGTGTTGTAGGTTCCTTAAGTGTGTCTCAGTGTTATAGGTTTCTTAAGTGTGTCTCAGTGTTGAAGGTTCCTTAAGTGTGTCTCAGTGTTGTACATTTCTTAAGTGTGTGTGGCTGAATATATTCAATATTTTCCCTGTCTATGATTCAACTCCTAAAGACTTACTCATATATGTACATTTTATGCTTGTTTGCTCTTTCTAAACAAAATTATTGTTTGAAATGTAAGTTGATAATAAAATATAATTGTTATATTCTATCGTCTTTTCACGTAAATACAGTTGTTTACCTTTTTCTTGCGTCTGGCAGCGCCGTGTGTCGCCAGCGAGGAGTTATCGTACTTAGTGATGAAATTTATGCTCGACTGACTTTTAACAGAAAGCACGCGTCCATGGCCAAGGTAGGTCACGCTGCTGCTGCTTCCTCTATCATTGCTTCTATAATTAACATTATTATTGCAGCATTTCTTCATAAACAAAGATCGTTAATCCAGCTGCCAAACACTTTATTTTGAATGAAAAACGCTTTACACACTCACACAACCCGTCCTCAGAGTCCATTCCATCCAACGGTCGACCCCAGAGACGCATTCGTCAATTGTTGATGTTCATTCAAAATAGGAATGTTCTCAAATAAAAATTCATGTTATTATATATATTAGCATACTGTGCATATTTAGGCGCTGGTTAGGTGTTTAGGATCTGTTGGCGATTATTGGTATTTGTAGTACGTGGATGAAGCATTTACAGCGTTGTGGTTCGAACAAAAGTCGACAGCGAAGCACTTGTGTTTCACTCAATTTCACGTATGCACTCTCGTCTAGGAATTCTACCTTCAATACACAGTAATGTGATGAATCAATGAGAAAATTCGTAGGAATGTCTAAGTTGTCTAAGACTTGTGCATGGTAACACCCAGAGTTCGAATCCTCACCACCGCTCCTACTGAGTTACTCATACCTTGAGGTGCTTCCGGGGCTTAGCGTCCCCGCGGCCCGGTCGTTGACCAGGCCTCATTACTATAATTATAAAGTAAATATTGTGTATTTACTGACATCAATTATTTCAACCATAAAGCTCAATAACAAATGAACAACTAACCTAATCTATCCCCTCTTTAGCATTTCCCTGAGGGCACCATTCTCACCAGTGGCTTCAGCAAGTGGGCGTCGGTGGGCGGCTGGAGGCTTGGATACGCCCACTTTCCTTCCGCTCTACGCCCACTCTTTGAGGCGGTCCGCAACGCTGCCTCCCACACATACACTAACGCCCCGGCGCCCATGCAGTATGGTGTGGCCCAGGTGAGGGGTGATGAGTGTACGGTGTGGCCCAGGTGAGGGGTGATGGGTGTACGGTGTGGCCCAGGTGAGAGTTTGTGAGCAAACTCACACACACACACACACACACACACACACACACACACACACACACACACACACACACACACACACACACACACACACACACACACACACACACAGTTTGTGAGCAAACTCTCACACAAACACACACAGTTTGTGAGCAAACTCTCACACAAACACACACACACACACAGTTTGTGAGCAAACTCTCACACAAACACACACACACACACACACACACACACACACACACACACACACACACACACACACACACACAGTTTGTGAGCAAACTCTCTGCTTAGGTTTGATTAGCTCGAGAAATTAGAATATATTATATTATTCCCTACCCTAACCTACCTTACCCTACCCTACCCTTCCTTTCCTTTTCGTTTCTTTTCCCTTTCCTTTCCTTGTCTTACCAAACATAATCTAGACTTACTTGCTCTCACCTACCCTAACCTAACCTTACCTAAGCTAACTTAACCAAGCCTAACCTACCCTAACCTAACCAAGCCTAACCTAACCAAGCCTAACCTACCCTAACCTAACCAAGCCTAACCTAACTTAACCTAATGTAAATTAACGACCTAACCTAACCTCATCTACCTTAATCTATCCTAACCTAACGGAATCTAACTTTATATAACCTAATGGAACCTGAGTTAACTTTATCTAATCTAGCCTTATTTACCCTTACCTTCCCCAACCTATCCCTACAGAATCTAACTCTCTGAACCTAACCTAAGCTAATCAATCCTTACCTAACCTAACCTAACCTAATCAATCCTTACCTAACCTAACATTACATCAATGGTGTAAATTTAATGTTTTTGTTTAGTCCCCCTCAATTCGCTTAAAGATTTCACGATTGTTTTCTTTTAACAGGTATTGAAAGAAAACGCAGAAGAGCTCGATCTGTATATGACTAACTGCGTTAGAATATTGCAAGCAGTGTCCGACTACTGTCACAGGTTGGTTAATTGCTGGTTATTGTTAATAATAACAATAACAACTTTGTATGTATAGTGTGCGCTCCCTAGCCCCCCCTACACAATAGTACCTCACACTGGTACCTTTCTTTCAGGGAGCTGGGCACCGTTGGAGTGAGAGGGTGCAAGAGCCAAGCTGGGTACTACTTCATGCCCGACTTCGAGGTAGTCCGCAAGGGCTTGAGTGTACGGGGCCTCACTACAGGCGACCACATGACGGAGGCCATGCTGGAGGAGGCAAATGTAGCGGTAGGTTGTGGGGGGGAGGTACTTGCCTCCCAGTGATTACCGGGAAGTGAGCTCTGGGTAAATACTGGTTCAGTAACAGGGTTGTTGATTTGTGGAACCAATTGCCGCGCAACGTGGTGGAGGTGGGGTCCCTCGATTGTTTCAAGCGCGGGTTGGACAAGTATATGAGTGGGATTGGGTGGTTATAGATAGGAGCTGCCTCGTATGGGCCAATAGGCCTTCTGCAGTTACCTTTGTTCTTATGTTCTTATGCCCCGTACAGGGGACGAGTATTTCCTCAAGTTTCTAGGAGTCATTTGTGTTTTCGGCTTACACTTGAGGCCTCGTTTTATGCTTCATTAGGTATGGATTCCATTTCGGGGGATCTCGCGGCCGCGTGGATAACGCTTGGGGGTCGTAGTCCTAAGGGCTCGGGTTCGATTCCCGGTCTAGGCGGAAACAAATGGGTTAGAGTTGCTTTCACCTAGAGTTTCTGAGTTTCAGAGTTTCTGTTCACCTAGCAGTAAATGGGTACCTGGAAATTAGACGGCTTCTATGGGCTGCTTCCTGGGAATGTGTGTGTGTGTGAGCGTGTGCGTGTGTTAGAAATAACTGTAGTATATATAATAGAGGAAAATACGTTGGTTAGAAAGGCGTGATCCAAGAGCTAATACCTCGATTCTGCACACACACACACACACACACACACACACACACACACACACACACACACACACACACACACACACACACACACACACACACACACACACACACACACACACACACACACACAGACGTGTTCACCACTCATAATACATTTCTCCCACCACCAGCTAATGGCCTCCAGCGCCTTCCTGCGGCCAGCGGATGAACTGACTTGTCGCCTCTGTTTCGTCTGCTTCGACGGGTCGCGCGCCCTGCTGGCCCTCAAGGACGAGCCCTCCAAACACCTCCTCTCCGACGAGTTCCTCCACAAGAACTGTCTCCCTATCGTCCAGGGCGTCCAGGACCTGAAGAAGTGGGTGCTGAAACATCAGTAGTGGGGGATATGAACGCCATAAAATGAGATTGGGAAACCCGGAAAAAATATTTTGAACAGCTAACATATCATTTGGATGGATATCTTTTTTTAATATTCAGCAAAATTAGGAAATATATATATTAATAAGGACATTGTGGACAAGCATGATTTCAATGTTTATGTTTTTTTGACTGAGTTAATTATCGTAGTTGAACGGTGTTATTGAAAGTAAAGTCTGCGAACCGGATCCTGAATGATTTAATTTGCTGTTTCGTTTTGGAATTTGCTGTTAACGTATTAGTATGCAAATTTATATTAGTGTATGTTATTAGTATGTTAATACAATGTATGTATTAGTATGTTAATACAATGTATGTATTAGTATGCTAATACAATGTATGCATTAGTAAGTTAATGCATGTTGCAAAAGAATTGTCATTGGCCTTTTTAACACCTTATAAACATGTTCAAATCAACATGGCACACCAGTAAAAGGTCAAGTGAATATTCCATAGATTTTCCACACAGGGGATACGACCAGTGTTTATAAATCACTTTCAGTGTGAACCAAAAAAAACTTTCAAAGTGGTACACGTTGTAGAGCCGCTTAGGTTATAACTGCGCCTAGAACTAGATTATTACGGGCTCACCATAGCCCGTGCTACTTGGAACGTTTTGTTCCAAGCTCCTCTCGGGAAAAGTTTTTTGCCTTTTTAGTGCACTCGAAGTACACTTTTGGGCCCAAATGCTTCCGTCTCTCTCGACGTTTCAACTATGCACTGATACGACGTATTTCCAATCTTCAGAATATTTTCCTCCTTTGCAGTTTCCTGGGGTTTTCGATCCTGAGATGTAATTCATTTTCCGATACCAGTCCAAGTGGGCCTGCCGACCACTTTGACGGCCATATTGAGCCTGGCAACCACTTTGACGGCCATATTGGGCCTGGCAACCACTTTGACGGCCATATTGGGCCCTGGCAACCACTTTGACGGCCATATTGGACCCTGGCAACCACTTTGACGGCCATATTGGGCCCTGGCAACCACTTTGACGGGCATATTGGGCCCTGGCAACCACTTTGACGACCATATTGAGCCTGGCAACCACTTTGACGGCCATATTGGGCCTGGCAACCACTTTGACGGCCATATTGAGCCTGGCAACCACTTTGACGGCCATATTGAGCCTGGCAACCACTTTGACGGCCATATTGGGCCCTGGCAACCACTTTGACGGCCATATTGGCCATAATCTCCACAAACCAGAATGACATTCGCAAGCTAAATATCATTCCTAGGCATCAAGGAATCTGTGTGTGTAGAGAACTGCTGTATGCCATCCTTGACAACTGTCACGTTATGGCTCCTTGACAGCTCTCATGTCGTGGCTCCTTGACAGCTCTCATGTCGTGGCTCCTTGACAGCTCTCATGTCGTGGCTCCTTGACAGCTCTCATGTCGTGGCTCCTTGACAGCTCTCATGTCGCTCCTTGACAGCTCTCATGTCGTGGCTCCTTGACAGCTCTCATGTCGTGGCTCCTTGACAGCTCTCATGTCGTGGCTCCTTGACAGCTCTCAACTCCTTGTCATGTCGTGGCTCCTTGACAGCTCTCATGTCGTGGCTCCTTGACAGCTCTCATGTCGTGGCTCCTTGACAGCTCTCATGTCGTGGCTCCTTGACAGCTCTCATGTCGTGGCTCCTTGACAGCTCTCATGTCGTGGCTCCTTGACAGCTCTCATGTCGTGACTCCTTGACAACACTGCTCACGTCGCTTGACACACTTCCTCCCGCATCCTGTGTCTTCTTAACAACCTGCATCCTGGCCAGAAAAAAAATTCGCTGTGTTGAATGCAATATTGATTTATTGCAAGCTGTTGGCAAATAAAAACCGTATAGTTTTTCATTTTATGTTCACTGACAATTTTTTTGTTTGTATTGCTGTTGTTTTTGTTATTTGTAATTATAAATATTTGTTCACTTGTGCCTTTTTTATCCGGATGCAGTGGCGCACATTAAGGCAAAGAAATCTATGAATCGACTAACGAGATAATTTAAGAAATATTTAATAATTTATTCAAAGAAATCTATGAATAAACATAGGAAGAGATAAATAAAAAGGAAATAGAATACTGAGGCAGAAAGAAAAAAATGCTGGAAATAGGAGGAGAGGGAAAGAGAAGGGGAACGATCAGGGA